TTTCAAAAGTCGTATGGAAGTAATGTAAAGAAGCCTGGGTGGGCCATGGTATTTCTTGGCATTAACAGTCAAATCTAGGTCATCAAGCATTTGTTCTGTAGTTCCTGGTGTCAAGGCTAGCTGGTTCCAGTTCTGCACATGTTCCCAAAGATGCTACTAGACAAAAAGAAATAAATTTAGAAATAGGTGACACACACTCAACTAAATTATAATAAACTGATCTGTACAAACAGATCTTTTCTTGATGTTTTTCCAATTTTATTAAAGAAACTGTCACAATTAATATATACTTTTTAAAATTTTTAAGAAATTAAATTAAAGAATCACTAACATTTTATAATCTGAAATGAAAATGTAATTATTGATTTTTTTTAAAAGTTTGTATCCTTGTCAGTTAAAGGAAAATTATTTTAAAAACGAAAAACTGTGTAAACATTTAATTAGCATTTAAACCTTTGTTTTTTAAAATAATATATTTTGTGATTAATTAAATTTTATCATTTGTTACAAATACATGCTAGTTAATGGCCAATTAACTTTGTAAATAAGCCAAGATTTGACTTTAATAAGTTAAACATTATATTCAAACGTGATGATCTGTAGTTTGAACTGATTTTACCTTTTAAAAAAATTACATTTATTTTTAATTTTTTCTAGATTTTTTTTATTGCAATTAAGATCTGATTTATAAATATAAATTTTAGTAATTAATTAATTTGATTTTGATTATTTAATTCAAATTCTGTAGTAAATCAATAAATTACTTTATAATCTACTGTATCTGTATTAAGTTATATTATAAATTAATGATATGCTATTTTCATAAAATAATTACATTAGTATTTTCGAAATTATATATGCAAATTTAAAACACAAAAAAATTGTAAAAATATTTTAGTATATAGAAAGTGAAATAATGAAATTTTCAAGTTACTTCAATTTTAATTTAAAAACTTACATCTCTTACAGAATATATTATATTGATGTGTCAACACTACACTTGTGTTAATGATTAGATATCTTATAAAAATGTTAGTTAATGTTAAATGTCGAAAAAGTTATTCATAGTTTATATGAAACTAATGTTTAATTTGTATTTTAATGTAATTATGATAGATTAAAATATAATTTTACATAACTACTAAAGATTAAGAACTGGAAAATTTAAAATATTGTTAATATTTTTTTATTTGATTTACAAAATTAAAAAAAAATATATTTAGTGATGTAAATAGTGAAATCAAACAAGTAATGATAAAATTATTTACTAACTAATTAACACATTAAATGTTAATGCATGAATAAATTTAATTATGTATTTGAACTTATGTATTATTGTACATATAATGTAATAAAATAATATAATGAATTTTAAAAAATATTCAAACTATGTCAATATTTTAAATAACAATGAAAAATAATACTATTAATGATAAAAAAATTATTTTAAAATGTTTATTGGAAAAAATAAAAATACTGAAAGAATATCTAATTATAAACTAGAAAATAAAACATTTGGCAAAAAAAAGTTATTTCCAAAATATAAGAAATTTCTATTTATGATATAATTTTGGTTTGAAATTTTAGCAGGAAATTTCATAATAAGTATCTAAGTTTTGTTATTTTTTATTTTTTGAAATAATTTCATTGCTATAAATGCCTAGAATTAGCTCATAGGCATCCAAATTTTTCTATGTAAATACTAATTCAGATTGCAAAATATATCAATTTAATATAGTTTAAAACTTATTTCATAATCAATTGAATTATAATTTGCAGTTACATTAAATTCATTGTCATATTGTTTTACTTATTATATTCTTATGTTATATATAGGGAAAAATATAATAATACATTTATTAATACAAATAGAAATATCATAAAATGAGTAGAATATTTTATTTTGAGAAATTATTATGTAGCAACAAAATAAATGATTATGAATCTCTTAAAAATATTTCAAATTAACAGATCTAAAATATTTTAAAATAATTTACTATGTATGGAGCTGGTTATAAGTTTAAATTTATGATTTGTAATATAAAATGACAAATAAAATTTAGATGAATATTTTTATAACAAATGATATTTAAACAAAATAATTTTATTTGTAAGTTTTAGTGCTATAACTTCATAATCTGAATAAAAGATTTTTCGTGTTTTCTTTTCATTTGGATTTTTAACTAGATGTTATATAAAATTAAATTGCATTAATACACAATAATTTGATATTTAATTAGTTTTATGCATCATAAACATTAATATCTTATATCATTCGTACTTTTATTTTGAATAGCTCTTGATTATGTACCCTAGTACAGATTTTTGAGCACAACAGATATAATTTCATCCTTGAATACATCAACATCCCAAATGGATCTATGCCAAGATACTGTATAGTGTCACTGCTTGCAACTGATGTGCTATTAAGATGCATATAAATGAAAGAAGTTCAAAGTTTTTGACCTTTCCAATTTTTCTTTGCTTTGTGTAATTAAGAATTTTTATACGTAGAATAATTAAAAATTAAGTTTATATATTGTATTTAAATATTACCTTGTATTACTACTAAACTTATTTATTAAATAATATATGTAAATGTATTCCTATATATATTTCTAACAATTATATTAAAATATAATTGTTAGAAATATTAAATATAATTGTGTAATTATAATATTGTGTTTTGTTGTTTAATTTTTTAAAATATTTATATTAAAAGACAGATTTTTTTTTTTATATATATATTTTAAAAATATTTAGTAAAATGTTAATGATTATTCAGATTTTTCTATTTGTCAGAAAGCCATATGTATGAAGAGAGAATATTTCCAGTCATACATTTTTTGCTAATAACAACATTTAATTTAATATATAATAATGTTAAAGTTAAAATAATAATTACAAAATGTATGATTTGAAATCTTTTCAGTTTTTCATTAGTTTAAAGTTTTTATTTTACTGTATGACATTTAAGTTTTAGATTACTTAAATTAATTTTATTCATTTTTAAATAAAATATTGATTGTAAAGAATAGATTATCAATTTTTATATTATATATTAAAATATGTGCATTATGATTAGTGACATTTATATATTAAAGTTTAAATACAAAATTCTGAATAAAATTTTTATAAATTAAAACTTTTTCAACATTAATTTGGTAAATATTTTTGAAAGATATTACTCAGCTTATCAAAAGGATAACTTATTAAGAAAATTGTAATATTTTTGATATAGATTTTGACAAAAATCTATAAAATATGGAATGAAATAAAAATTTTTGTGTAAATTCTAAAAATTAACAAAATAATTTCTAGATTAAAACCAAGTAAAACTACTTTCTCTTTTTTGACTTCGAGTGATTTATTTTAGCAGACTAACAAATAATGTAGAAATACTAAACTGTCCACTGATGAGGCTTTATTGTAAGTGAAATGCATTTGGATCTTATGATGAATTTTGTGAATTCAAAGTTATTGGTAATTAAAGTTAAAGTTTAGTATTTCTATGTTATTTGTTTGTCTGCTAAAATAAATCACTCAAAGTCTGAAAAGAGAAAGTAGTTTTACTTGGTTTTAATCTAGAAATTATTTTATTAATTTTTTGAATTTACAACAAAAATTTTTATGAAATTTTAACCGATCCCATTGTTTTAAATTTTGATGGTTTAAAATATATTTATGGAATGAAATACTTTAATAGTTTTTTTAATTATATCATTATTTCATAAACATTTTTGAGATATAATTTAATCATATTAATAGTTTATGATTAAAGAATTATTAAAATAAAAATAAGACTTTAAGGAAGATGAGTAGATGAGTTGTTTTTTTAGACAATTATGACAATGGTGAATATTTATTTTGAATTTATTATTGATAACAAAGATTATATAGACTGTTTTAAGGTTATTTGTATTTCATGCATTTAAATTTCCTTCCTATTTCCTGAACTTTTTATAGTTAAATATAGCAGCAGAAAATTTTACCTATATTATCAAATATTTCTAGGGATAAACTTACAGTACTTTTTTCCCAACTATAAAGATTAAATTTACTATAGTTAATTAAATAATAATATTTATGTAAATCAAACGAAATGAATATATATATATTGCTTTTGCTTTTCTATAAAAGTAAATCATGAGAAAAAAAATACAAGAAAAGTGAAATTAAATAAATCAAAGTAAGTTTACAGTTTAGTTACAGAAGTTGATATTTAAATACACAACAGATTTTTTTCAGTGCTACTGTATAAGCATGAGCTTGAGTTACTACTACAATTTTTCAGAGATCAAATAGGTTATTGAGTACCTTCAGGGAGGAGAAAGTGTAATAAAAGGCAACATATTACCATATGCTTATAAAATAAAATTTAGAAAGTATTAAAAAGTCTTAACGTTTATAACAGAATAAATTTTTGTATGTTTTTGTTTTTAGTGTAAAATATAATATACAAGTTATTAGTTAGTTATTTACATATAATAATTTGTTCAGATAGAAATTTATAGAATCATATTTTTAGAATAAAATAGTAAAATTTTAACAAACTATTTTACTACTTGTATACTTTAATTTTTAAAATTGAAACAAAATGACATATTTAATTTTAACTTTTATATCATTAACTTCTGTTTACTTTTAATTATAAAAGAGAATTTTGTAATTATAAAATAATGATAAATATTACAAATAAATTGATCAGATGACCTTGAAGTGTCATTTAAGTTACAGTTTATTGATTTCTGAACACTGATATATTAAAGTTAAGTTGGTGATAAGATTTCATGAATTTTATTAATAAAATTAAAATATAATGAAATTTGAAATAATTTTATTATTGCTATTGTTAGTAAATCATAGTTTTTATAATATTTATTATAAAAGTAAGAATGTAAAATATATATTAATGTTTAAAAATGTATTAATATAATTGAGCATTAATGTTAAAATCTTAGAAGAATTTTATTAAATATAAAATTTTTTAAATTTTGCAGCAGCCCACCTGCAACGACCAGTTTTATTAAGTCGGTCTGGACATTCACAGTTGCCATCTCATCCATCTGTCCAAGGACAAACTCAGGTAACTACTGTACATTCAAATTTATAAATATAAGAAAAAATAAATAAAAGTAAAATCAAATATTTTTTATTTAAACCTAATTTTATTCCTTCAATATAATTTCATAATAATAATAATAATAATAATAATAATAATACCTCTCCCGTGGTCACCACCTGGTCGTGGTGGGAGAGCCCAGTAATTTTACAGATCCATAGGGCAATGCAGGCTGGAGCACAAGCTCCTGGTAGGGACACCCATGCCAGTAAGGTCTATGGGGAGAAATGAAGCTAAGAGTGACCACACACCCACATTCTGTGGAGATAATCATTATGGTAGTAACCAGATCTAAGTATGATACCGGCTCGGACGTCGCCCGGGTTAACAAGGTCCGCGTTCGTGGGTTAGGCAGAGGCTCACGTTCGAAAAATAGGCTCCAGTCTCCCTTGGTTACCGGTGGCGAAAGCAGCGCCGGCCCAAGCATGGCTACTGCAATGCCCTCAACAGATGTGAGGAATCAACCTAGCCTTGGTGTTTCTGTGGCAATGCATCCACAGACCACAAAGGCTGGAAAACCACGCCAACGGATGAAATGGACAACAGAAATGAACGAGTTTATCATCCGCACTTACTACACCATCACAAGACTCGAAACAAACATGACAGCATACAGACAACAACTACACCATAGATTCACACAACAATATCCTCACCTCACTGTCACCGAACAAAGGGTTGTTGATCAAAAAAGAACAATTATACACAACAACCTTATCCCACAAACAACACTTGAACTTATCAAACAACAGGTTGCTGATCAAATACATCAACAGACAGAAACATTTAACATTAATGAAGATCACGTAACCTGTCAGGATAATCCAGCAACAAGCACTGATTACAGCACACACACAACAAGTACCACTAATGATACTGCAGGCACTTCCCCATCCATCACTGATAACATAGACATAGAATTAGTTAATACACTCTCACTTATATTTCAGGAAACACTCACTAAATATACAGGTACAGATCCCACACAAAGACCACGAATACCGAAAATCAACACGTCAAAGGTAGTAGGAAAAACACTAAATTATGTAAACACTCACTTACTACCAAACTACATTCATTCAATTTCTACACTCTCAGACATTCATACATTAGTTTATGCTGGGGCAGTCACAGTAGTAACACACCATGGACTGAAAATACACTCACAGACAGACACACACAAAACACAATTCTATCACAAGCCTGCCTGGCAGAGAAGAATAGAAACACAAATAAATGACATTAGACAGCAATTAGGCAGGCTGACACAATACACTAAAAACAACATAACACCCAAATTAAAGAAACAACTCAAAAACATTTTCAAGAAAATCAAAACACACACAAAACATGAACATCACAACACACACATTACAGAATACATCGATACACTAAAACAAAAACTCGCAGCCAAAGCACGTAGACTCAAACGATACAAAACATGTACACTACGAAAACAACAAAATAAATTATTCACAAACAATGAAAAACTTTTCTACAGACAAATCAGTACCAAAACAAACACTGATACACAGCACAGTGGCACACCAACAGAAGAAGAACTCACAACTTATTGGTCTTCTCTTTGGTCCAATGCTGTTACACACAATGCTGATGCAGGCTGGATCAAGGAGGAGAACAGAAACTTGCATAACATACCAAGTATGCCCTGTGCTGAAATAAACATACACGACATTCGCTACGCTGTTAACAGAACACACAACTGGAAGACACCTGGTGTAGACAACATTCACAATTTCTGGTACAAAAAGTTTACATCACTGCACCAGGAACTAGCTAAACATCTAACACACATCATCATCAATCCACAAGACATGCCAAAATTTCTTACTCGGGGCATTACCTACATGAAACCTAAAAACAACAAAACCACAGACCCCACACAATACAGACCAATTACATGTCTTCCAACACTCTACAAATTATTGACATCCTGTATCACAAACAAAATATACAAACATGTTGAAGAACACGACATTCTTACAGAACAACAAAAAGGTTGCCGTAGAAATCACAGGGGATGCAAAGAACAGTTACTCATAGATTCAGTCATTCTACGGCAAGCACACAAACAACACAGAAACATACACATGGCATATATAGACTACAGAAAAGCATTCGACAGTGTTCCACACAGTTGGCTGCTACATATTCTACACATGTACAAAATACATCCATCACTCATTGCATTCTTCGAAAACACTATGCAGCACTGGAGAACAACACTACATCTCAGGGTTAGTAACACTTCCATACAAACAAACGAAATATTCATTAGGCGAGGAATTTTTCAAGGAGATTCCTTGAGTCCTCTCTGGTTCTGCCTAGCCCTGAATCCATTATCCAACATGTTAAACAACACGCAATACGGCTACAATATCAGACACGAAAAAACAACACAGTTTACACTCTCACATCTCATGTACATGGACGACATAAAACTTTATGCATCCACACAAAAACAACTTCATCAACTCCTACAAATCACACATTCATACACTAAGGACATACAAATGGAGTTTGGCCTAGACAAATGCAAAAAACTTCACATAGAAAAAGGAATCCTGAAGAAAGAAGATTTTGCACTTGGAAATGGAGACGTTATTGAATCCATGGAAGAGGGCGAGTTCTACAAGTACTTAGGATTCCAACAGGCCAAACTAACAGAACATACACAAATAAAGCAACGATTAATTAAAGAATACCAAAGTAGGTTAAACGCTATACTTAGAACACAGTTAAATGCAAAACACACAGTTAAAGCAATAAACACATATGTCATCCCAGTACTCACATACTCTTTTGGAGTTATACATTGGACTCACACAGATCTCGAGCAACTCCAAAGGAAAACAAGAACAACACTTACTAAGCATAAACAACATCATCCTAAATCCGCCACAGAAAGATTAACCCTTCCACGTAAAGAAGGCGGACGTGGCCTGATTGACATAGTTAACCTTCACTACAAACAAATACAGTCACTGCGAGAGTTTTTCTACAAGAAACAAGAAACATCACAGTTACATAAAGCAGTAACTCTAGCAGACTCAAATAACACACCATTAAACTTACACTCACATCATACAGACATGACACAACACATAAAAAGCATAGACACCATCAAGCAATCGTGGGCTCGAAAGGCACTCCATGGCAGGCATCCTTATGACCTGGCCCAGGATTTTGTTGACAAAACTGCGTCAAACAGCTGGTTAGATCGGGGATGCCTCTTTGGGGAGACGGAAGGATTCATGATTGCCATACAGGATCAGGTCATAAATACTAAAAACTACAGAAAACACATACTCAAAGATACAACACTCACAAATGACACATGCAGAAAATGTCACATCATGCCAGAAACTATACAACACATCACTTCTGGTTGCAAGCTCTTGGCACAGACAGATTACTTACATAGACACAATCAAGTAGCAAATATAATACACCAAGAGCTTGCAAAGAAACACAAATTGGCAGACATCCACGAACCATACTACAAGTATATTCCACAGACAGTATTGGAAAACAACACGCACAAAATGTACTACGACAGAGCCATAATCACAGATAAAACAATTTACCACAACAGACCAGACATCACACTCATTGACAAACACAATAAAATCACATACATTATAGACATAGCCATTCCAAACACTCACAATGTACAAAACACATGCACTGAAAAAATTAGCAAGTACACAGAACTCGCCCAGGAAATAAGGCATCTGTGGAGGATGGATAGGGTGCTTATTGTACCTGTTGTTCTCTCCTGTACAGGTGTGATACCACACACACTACACAAAAGCCTGGGAACATTACAATTGAGTAGAAATACATACATCACACTACAGAAGGCCACTATATTGAATACATGCCATATTGTTAGGAAATTCCTTAATACAGACACTGACACTGACACACATTTAATTTTAGTTTTGTTTTGGTTGCTATGCCTTGACTCTGGTCCGGCATAGTACACAGCCACCGGTGTGTACCGAGTATAACCCACTAAACCCAACATAATAATACTAATAATAAAGGAAATTGTTGAACAACACAAATGCATACACAAACAGTATGTAAATAGAATATTAGCTTTTTCTGTAGCTATGTCTTGACCTTGGTCCGAATAGCTTTGAACACTAGTATAAACCAAATAGGATACAATCTAGCAGTAAACAATAATAATTGTAGGAAATGCCACATTATGCTTTACACTATACAACACATTACATTGAGTTGCAAGCTTTTAGCACAAACTGACTACTTACATTGACATAACCAAATAGCAAACATAATTTATCAAAAACTTGCACACAAACAAACTACTACACATCCAGGAACCATACTATAAATAAACGTTTCAAATATTATAGAAAACAACATACAAAATATACTATAACACAAATGTAATCACGGAAAACAGTCTTACACAACAGATAAGACATCACATTCATTGAGAAATAAAATAAAATTATATACATTATAGATATAACTGTACCAAACACCAACAACATACAAAATACATACTGAAAAAAGTTAGTAAATATTCAGAACTTGCTTATAAAATAAACATCTGTGGAGAATGGATAAGGAATTTATCATTTCTATGGTCCTTTCTTGGACAGGCATGATACCATATACCAGGAGTGGTGAACCTATGGCATGTGTGCACAAAGTGGTCATACAAGAAATCATCTGAAATGTAATGTATCGTACGATTTTAATTTATCATCTGTCTTTTTTAATCTTTCTTTTCTTTTATTGCCTGGTTACCCTTTTTATCAATCAGCTTTTTTACATTTATTCTAATTAGAGCATATTTGTTTAATTTCTTTAAATATCGTTATTTGAAGTCTAAAACTTTGGCATGCATAAACATGTTTAAAGTTAAGTATCTACTATATGGCACGAGGGCTCAAAAAGGTTCACCA